TTGGAGACCGCTTACTTGTTTTCTTGGGCTGTGTTAAGCACGACACCCCTTGAGTTAGCAAAATGGTCAGAGCCCTCATCGTGGTCTGCTGGTGTAGTGGCGACGCCGTCTGCCTGTCGGCCCGACGTAGAGGGTACGACTCCCGTGTCCTCTACATTTTCGTGGATTTTCGACTTATCGACTAGGCCGAGCTCCACAACTGGTTCTGCAGGAGTTTGCTTATGGAGCATGGAAACCTCCTCTGTTTTCTTTGCCTTGGCCTTTTCTCGGCTTTCTGTCGTCTCCAACATCGAGCCATGCATAAAAGTATGGAGAAGTGACTTCAATTTCTCGACCTCCGTTTTAAGGCCTACCATATCCTTTTGCATGACGGAAAATGCTTTGAAAAGTTTCGTGTATGATATGCCATCTTAGTCTTCGTAATTTGGGTCTATTGAACTCGGAGGACTTCTTGGCCTTTTAGCGGGGGGCGATTTCGTTGCACCGACCTTGCGTTTTCTGCCCTCGAAATTGCAAATAGGGCTTATATTGTGTATTAAATCGGTCGACAATGTGTGCCTTGGTGATGTAGTGTTAGCACCCGCTGCTCGTGGACCACGGGTTCAGGGATCAAATCCCATTCAGGGGAAACTTTTTACATGCTGCGCTGTACATTTATTTGTATTTGCCATAATAGATCGAAGTGATGGTAAACAATATTAAGGCTCTATGCAATGTGCATAAAGCGATCAACTGTATGAAAAAGATATTGAAACGACTCAACCGTTTGTAGATCGCTGGAATCCCGGAGAATTGTTGACAGAAGCTTTACGTTCACGGAGATGTTGCTCGTTTTGACTAATGTTCTTCCGTGGCTTCAGAGGCTGGAGATATTTCGAAAACGAATGCAATAGCTAATAACGAAAGTCTGCGAGATTGCTAAGTGGACCGAGATCCCGAAAATAGTATTTCCTACGGAGGACGAGAAATTTAAACCGCTGTCAAATCGTAACAAAATATGACAGAAACAATATGACCACTCCCAAATCACGAGTAGTATAATTTGATTAGTGGTCGTGTGCTTGCGCAGAAACGTAAAATGTTTCTTTTTCAAAAGTGGACGTGGGACAGGGTTCTCAACAACGTCATTCGAAATTTCATCGATCTCACTTACACCAATAGAGAATAATAAGGCAACATAATTGTGTAACAATGAGCACCTCCAGCAGTCGCGCGTACGCCAGTAACAAAGCTTTGATATATCAAAGTTTTAGGGTAGTTACAAATACATTATTCAAGGGTAAACGATGCGAAAACCTTACCATCGGATGTGGAACGTAAGCAGCGAACAGACTGGGTTAAATCGTCTTACTATGTTCAGGCGAAAAACAAAAGTTACACCAACACGCAGAGAGTAACCAGTCTTGAGGGGGCCTGTGTATGTTAGCAGGGGAGGCCCTTAAACAGCCCTAAAACAGACACCATGTGAAGGGATTTCCATCAGACTATAATAGTCGCCGAAAATCGCGCAAAATGCTGACAAATGCGAAAAAACGATCCATTCTCACTAATCGGCATTGACTCAGGTTGGGATACTGATTTTTGTTTATTCTATTCTGAAGTCATTTTAATCATGATAGGATGCAGGCTGTTTAAAAAATTCTTTCTGACTACTAGAAAAAAGGTTTTTATTATATAAATGGCTTTTTAAGAAGTATGTATTTTTATAATTTATTTTGATTGCATTATAATTTCAAATATATTTTACGGAAAATTTGCATGAAAAAATTATTTGTTGTATTGTTTTATAGAAAATTACGCTTTCTTTAATGCTATGCTCAAAGAAAAGGTATCTTTCGGTTTT